GGCACAACGACGGGGTTTTGGTCGATGCAATGGTGCTTCAGCGGCTGGCCCTCCATGGGGTCCACCTGTACGTGCAACTGAGGGTGCTTCTGCAGGCACTGCTGGAGGCTGGGGTTCTGCTGGGGCCTTCCCCTCTTGGTCTTCACGGACTTGAGGATCTTCTTGCCCTTCACTGCCAGGAGGTCGATGTCGACGGTGACGGGCACGTAACGCCGAGTGGACCAGATGGAGTCCATCTCGAGAGGAGGAGGAGCTGTTGTTGTTTTCTCTGGCTTGGAGGGAGAGTAACTTTCCTTCGTGATCCGGAGGAAAGGCGCTAGGTCCTACTAAGGTCAAGAGGCCATATTGTTCCTGCTGACGTCACGCCTTTGTGTGCAATCTTTCCTTCTTAAATCACAGAGATAACAATGCGCTTTATCAGTTCGTATTACAAGTTCAAGTTCAGGTGAGATTAGTCAGAGGAACTGAAGGGTGAAGTTAAAAAAAGGGTCTTGGCGACGTGTTCCTCGATCCCTTCGGTGTCTTTTGTAGGTCAACGCCTCCTTACTGACCTAAAAGACCTCCTAATGACGCAGAAGGTCGGGTCACATGGCAGTGTTATCTTCTGCGAGATGGAGGGTTCCTTACGGCGTGTGGCTTCCTCAGATTCCAAACGCAGTTGATTGATTCTTTTTATTTGGTTTTGGTAAAGTTACTTTTCAACTTTACACAACAAAGCAAGCTGTCACTAGATATTCAACTTGCAACACAATTCACATTTGTAATACTGTCAACTGAAACAAGAACAATACATTGAGCAAATGCCTACTGAAAATGCTAAAACTGATTAAAAACACTTAAAAACACGCAATTTTTAAGGTTTTGCCAAATACAAAACCCAAAGAAGGGACAAGACCTATCATATTTCTAAACAAATCTGCTCATCACAAATTCCACAGAAAGAAGGCCCGGTCTGAAATACACACTTCTCAGCATCAAAGGTTCCAGTTCCGCCACCATTTGCAATAGCTCTTCAAGGTGGGAACTGGCTACACCAAAAGCAAGAGAATGCGTGGGAGATAAGCTAGCTCGCACGGATAAATATTCAGGCTCGAGGAATTCTTTCTTCCAAGAACGGCCACGGTAAATATTTGCAATTTTCTCCCCTTTTGGCGTTTGTTGGGATAACGTCTGTATAATGGGGTGTGATCCAGGCCCCCCTTTTTCTCCACCGATGCCTCGACTCGGGACAACGCAGGTGAGCAGGTGGCCGAAAACAGGGAAGGATATGATTCTGTGTGAGAATCTCAAAGGGAATGTGAAACTATTTGGGAAAGGCAAAGGCAGTTGAAAGAGCATTGAACTAAGGACCATGAAATTATAATGGTTGAAACAGTGCGAAGGTGACCTGGAGAAACAGCCGAGTGAAGACGCACTCCAAACCTGCAGTTTCTCCAGACATGAAGGCACTGACGTCCCCACGAACTCAGATCCTCGAGGACGAGATATTTGGCGTGGACTCAGTAACACAACACCAGCCACTGACACACGTAACGCCACACAAGCTCACTCTAATCGAGGTTATTGACGCCTCTCGGAATCCGTGGCCCAGACTGTGCGGGAGCGACGGTGTAAGATCTCGCTCGTCATCTTTCTCTCTCTGAAATCTTATTTCCGAGCAACTTCCATTCATGCGGCGGATAAAAACGGTTCAAGTTCCAGTTACATTCCAGCTTCGAACACCCGCGAGACCCCCGTCCAACACACGTACCGGTACTTCGGAGAAAAAGGTACACACAGCTCTTACAGCATCGAACTCACACAAATGAATTTTCGTTTTTCTTTCTTTCTCTCTTTCTTTTCTGCTGCTATATCACTCTTATTTCGCTAACTGATATTTTCTCTCTACGGCCTCAGAGCGAGCCACACTCAGGAGCCGTTGTCAAGGCACATGGAATCTCCTCTGAGTCTCCACACTCACTGAAACAGTCTCTCGCACCCACCCGGCCAGACCAGACGACCCTCCCTGTTTCCCGGCCACCACGTGGACATGACTCCGCCCCCAAGGCTAAGCCCCGCCCCTCGCCTGTTCCATCGTATCTTCTTCCCCTCCTTTATTTTAGTTTCATTCTCCTTTTTCATCAGGTTTCTCTTTTGTTTGTTTGTTTGTTTGTTGTTTATGATTGTTTCCCTTTTTTTCGATTTTTGCATATGTATTTTTTTTTTTTTTTGCTCTCACCTGTTGTGGGACTACTGTTTGCTGGGGGAGGGATTGTAGGCGTGTCAGCCAGTCTGCACAGGCGTGGGTTATCGTAATGATAACCTGCCCATTTCTCTCTCTCCTCCTCCTCCCCTCCTATCTCCCTCCCTCTTTTCCCCCTTTCTCTAAATCTCTCCCACTCGACCTCCCTCTCCTCCCTCTCTTCCTCTCTTGCTCCCTCTCTCTCTCTCTCTCTCTCTCTCTCTCTCTCTCTCTCTCTCTCTCTCTCTCTCTCTCTCTCTCTCTCTCTCTCTCTCTCTC